GATGGTGACGGTGATGGTGATGATGATGGTGACGGTGATGGTGATGATGATGGTGATAGTGGTGGTAGCGGTGGTGGCAACCATGTAGAGTTCAGGCTCTGAGGTCTTGGAGACAGAAATACTGATAATACATCTTACCCTACTCATCACTCCTGAACCCTCGCAGCCGACAGCCCACGACTCATGCACACACAGAGACAGACAGACGGACAGACGGACAGACGGACAGACAGACCGACACACCGACAGACCGACAGACCGACAGACCGACAGACCGACAGACCGACAGACCGACAGACCGACAGACCGACAGACAGACAGACAGATACACACAGACACACACACACACACACGAGAGAGAGAGAGAGCGAACACACGCGCGCGAGCGCATGCGATTGATGCGACACTAAGAACTGGCAGTCTGATCAACAACATGACAGTTGAACGAAACATGCAAAAGTAGGGAAAGGAAGCAGCAAAGCAAAGAGAGGGAATGGCTCTGCACAACAAAGCCGGAATAGTCTTAGCCGCGGCACCACAAGACGAGAGCTTCGGATAAAATATCTCCCAAGAGTCCCAAAGTCATCCGTAGGCCTTAGACTCTATGCAAAACTTTCAAGCGCGCACCCCAAGCATGAACCCTACCCGAAACCGAACACAAAAGCACCTCAGCTCGGAGGACGTTGCTGGCGACATGTTGTAGGAGGGAGCCACATGCTAACCTCGGCGGGCTCTGAGGGCGGCTTGATAAGTGTCACGAGTACGGGGTTTCGAACTGGGATCATTGAAAGTTGGAACGCATCAGATGAGGGGGGGGGGCGAGAGTGGCCAGTTTGAAAGCTTGAAAAGTCTGAAGGATGAAGAGCTCGGATTTCGAAATTGGGACGTGGGGTGTTCATGTTTTCATATTTGACACCACATTCGCCTGGAAGCCTCAAAAGATGCAGTCTGATTCGTGCAAGATGGAGTCTGATTCATGCTGGAGGGAAGCCCGATTATTATTGCATCAAACTCAGCTATCAAATCAGAACCCTCCAGCATAATCCCCATGCCCAAATCCCCAATCCCCAAACCCTAAACCCTAAACCCTAAACCCTAAACCCTGAAGCCAAAGCCCTAAACTTCCTGAGCCTGTCGCAAGGAGAACTTCGCCGGCATTGGCGAAGAGAAGGCCTGTTGGGCCAACTGCTGCTGGCTGGAGCCCAAGGCGGCCGGCGACAGAGACGAAGAGGGCTTAGAGTTTCGGGGTTACAGCAGGGCCCTTCAAGGTTCTAGGAGCTAGGGTCCTTTAAAGGTTTAGGGTTCAGGTACCCTTTGCAGTATCAAGGCACTTCTTGCGATTATCCTTCTCCTGCAGCGTGCTGTGGCGCGGGCAACTCTGCCGCTCGTTTAGGGTTTAGGGTTTAGGGTTTAGGGTTTAGGAGCGAGAAAGCCTAGATGATTCACACGGCTGCTGCCAACCGAAAGAATAATCTTGGCGTGTAGACGGGTCAGCACTCACCACATCGCAGTCCTCCCCAGGGTGGTGTTAGCACTGCTAGTATTTCTCTTTGTTTTAACACTCTCGAGATCGCCATTCTGTATAAATAAATACCACTCTTAATCTTCGTAGCCTCTTCCTCGGCACCTGGAGTCATAAGAGCATCCTCACCAGCAACAGACTCCATGATCCAGGTCATCAACAGCCTCACCATCACCGGGAAACCTAGAGGCAGCTGCAACCTGACTCCCACCTCAGCAACCCTAAACCCTAAACCCTAAGCCCTATACCTTAAACCCTAAACCCTAAACCAGAAAATCTGAAAATCAGACACCAAACCCGGGGACAGCAAGCTCTCAGCAGGTCAGGGATTGGGGATGAGGGATTTAGTGTAAGGGGTCTTAATAATTAGAATAGGGTTTTGGGGGGGTTCCTTATTATAACTTGGACTATAATATATCCCAAGCCCTATTCTAACTATAAAGGCCCCTATATTCGGCTTCTTGGGGTTGAGGGTCTACGATTCAGAGGTTCAGGAACTAGGGCTCCAAACAAGAAACCCTAAACCCTAAACCCGGTCGCCCTACAAAGCGCCCCAAGGCGCCGGCGAGTTCGGAAGGACAGTGTGCTTGCAAGACTTCACCTCTTCCCCGTCTCGGATCACTTAAACCCTAAACCCGTAAATCCTAAACCCTAAACCCTTCAACCCTTAATCCCCAACCCAAAACACTAAACCCTAAACGCTTAGCCCTAAACCCAAAAGACTAAACACTGAACCCTGAGCTCTAGGGAATCTAGGGCACTTAGCAATTAGAACAGGGTTCTGGGGCATAGCGGTAATTTTTTCTTACCCCTAACCCCTAAATTACCGGCAATCCAAAACCCCTGCGCTGAGCAGTAGGCTTTGGTTTATGTGGGAACAGAGCTCAAGCACATTTTATCCAGCACCGGCCGGCCACTTGTCATCTTGGCAAGCCTAAAACCAGTACCTGAATCATTGCAAAAGGCTTTCGGCGCATATGTCGCATAACTATACAAGGA